AATGGTTTAGGAGACTACTGTAATAGAATACCCTGGAAAAAGATTCTTGCATTAATAGAATACAATGTCTTCAAGACTACAGAGGCTGACTTCAGGAATCAGAAGACAATTTGCCAAATACCAACCAATTGACTCCCACTTCAAATGAAACCACACGACGAGGCTGGGAGAAACACAAATTGAGTTTTTGGACAGTCTCAAAGGCTTTATTATTGAGTCAGGAGCTGCAGAGGTTCTGTATGTACATGCAGCCTTGAGGTTATCAAAGCAAAAGTGGAGTTCATAGAATACTGATAGTTGGGTGTATGAATAATATGAACTTCATGCATTTAGAAATTGCATTTCTATTGACAAATACAAATTGAAGGTCACTCAGATCCTTTGGGTTCGATTTATTTGTGTCAAAAAAAAATGTATGTCTGGGTTTTCATGGTAAATCAGTTTTAGGTACAGTTCATCAAGGATATCAGTGGATGACAAAATCGATATCACATTGTATGCTTAACTGTACAGTCTGTGAAATGTCAATATATCTTCACAATGAAAAGAAAAAAAGGTGTCAGGCAGAAAAGCTGGCATTTCAAGTGGCTCTAAGAGTCAGTTGTCTGACGAGTATAAGTTGGTCTTCTCATAGATGTTTCTCAAAACACAGTTAAAATACCGTAGATTTTGGATTTTGGCATCTAAGTACTTTCCATACCTTCCTTCTACATATTTGAAGTTGATAAGCTAGTTTTCCATTTTGTGTCTTGTGAGTTAGAACCATAGTGAAAATACCCAAATGTGTGAGTCAGAGATGAGTTTTTCTGAGTATTTTTTGAAATGCTATAAAAATATCACAACATTCAGGAATAAAATGTTATATTATTATATTCCAAAAAGGGGTGAGATGCCATTAATTTAATGTAGAGCCAATAAATAACACCTTAAAGGTATAAAAATTCAAACATCTAGGAACCATCAATCAGATAAGTTGCTTAATACCTTCAAATGCTCCCAACAGTGTATCCAGTATAAGTGATCAACAAATCTTATTCTGACATACAAATAATTGTACCACGTTGAAATTGAGGTTAAATGTTTTTACAAATATTGCAAATATTGCTCAGGATTTTAAATATTTTTTGTCTTTTCTAGTATTCATTCTTACAATTAACCAAGCGATACAACTTACCAATCTGAGACTGTGCAACCATAGTTGACTTGCGATCACAAAGAGGAGAAAATGGCAGTCCAAGCTCTGCTTCTTTGTCCCCCTACAAGCAGAACATTTCTATTGAGAAAAACCTTTTTTGAACAGACTATGTCATTTCAATCATTATCCAAGACTATGTAACAAATATACAAATACTTTGTCTTTTGTGAGCAATAATATATAAGAAAAGTAATCAAACCAAAGAGATTTCAAATCAAATAAATTTGATTGCTTACTTTACAGACTGCAGCCTAAATGTGGTCTAAAGTACATTACTGGGTTCATTAAATGAGTGGAAATTTTAATCCATTTTTCTGTTGATATCAGTACATGTCTTGCACACTAGATGTATGCTTTTTATTAAGTGGCATTGTTTTAGTCTCTACTACAAAGGAGAGCCTCATCTTTTATTAAAAAAAAAACATATGTATTTTCTTTACCATATCCAGGCAATTAGAAATCAGCAGTACAGGACAATTAATCAAAATATGTCTTCACAGCGGTACTATGTACTGCAGAGTGTATGATCGGAAAATGTAAGAAAAAAGAAGGGTGAAAAAAGACTATAAAAACAGACAAATTAGACCAGAGCCACAGGTAAAATAAAATGTTAAACTTGGAAAAAGAAACTTTTCTCATTCAATTTGTCACATGCAGGTGCTAGGGGAGCTAGGATCCCTCGGTTTCCATCAGAAGCCACATTGAGCAATTCAGAATCACTCGGGCCAGATTCCTCCACCCTCTATGACCAATTAACAGGTGCTCAATCCATTAAACCTCCTTATTTAAACACTGTTCTGCCACTGGTACAGTGCTCTGTCACTGAGTTGCTTTCCGAAATACAAAGATGGAGCGGTGCACTCTCAGTATCATCGATCTGCAGCTCCATAAGCTATTTCCTGCCTGAAGACTTCCAAATCAGTCTTGAAACTGATCCATCTCATTTCTGTGCATCAGCGTCCCATTCCACATTCTCAGCTTTGTGCCACAGTTCCACTATGCTTTGTCTTTTGTCTTTACACCGCACCAAAGCAGCGGTGTAAAGACCTCAGCTGCCAGCACCATGTACAAAGACTTTGAGCCAGTCCAGAGTTTTTGCTTGGCACCATCCTCAGCTTTTCTCTTGTTGGGAGTTTGTTTCTTTTGTTTTATTTAGTGCCTGCTTTTTGTTACGGCTTTGCAGATAATAACACTGTAGTAGAGCACATAGAAATTAAAAATTAAATCATTCTTCAAAGTATGATAGACAGCACTAACAATTTTAGTCTAATAAGTTTAGATTAAAAACTATCCCTCTAAACTATAACATCACAAGGAAAGAATTGTTTTACCTTGACATTTTATGCAAATTGTTTTAATTGGCCTAAGAGCTATGAAATGAAATGTATTGTGCATCAGGTTTATTTATTTTGAATCAGGTTGGAGTGTAAATGTACTGTAATTGCTGATTGATGTTGTGTTCTGTAATTAAAAGTCATTCTGTGGCATTGTTAAAGTGCCACTACAGTATAGTACAGTACAGTAGGACTACTGTCTTTACCAAGTTTTTAGTTGCAGTCATTTGTCATGAAATAAAATATGGATCACACATACAGTAATTGTTTTGAAAAGCAGCGGAAAAATGCCTCTAAAAACATCAGATCACAAAATGACCTTTTTAACATCAATCATACACTATATAGGAAAATATGCAGTATAAAAGCAGTTAATAAACATTTTGAGAAAATACAAATATTTTAAGAAGTTTTACACAAGTTGTGTTTAAGTCAATATCACACATTTTCAACTCCCAGACCCCAAGCTGAGTTCACAGCATATTTTTCCTTTTTGTGTCACAAGGTAACATCTTGAATGATAGACTATTCAAAATAGTTGCTGCTAAACTTGTAAAAAACTGTACACGTACAGACTGAATTTAAAAAAGTAACAAAATAGACCCCAAATTAAGAATAATCGTCTAGAACTGATGTTCTAAAATTGAACTGTTTGAACAGTCTCTTCCTTATCCTAGAGTATAAGTCATAAAGAGCTTGAGTTTGTGTAAAATCAATGATTATGTTTTATGTGTGCTCACCAGCAATTTAAAGCAAACAATATAGTTTGTTTGTGGCTTTTTTTTAATTCAAAGGTTCTCTTCTGCCCTCAATTACTTGAGACATTGGGCTTCATTAAGACAAAGCTTCTATGTTTGCTATACCCTCATGTAGTCTGTGGAACACCCTAAATAAACTATACTGTAAGTGTGTCCATTGAACCCAGGGCCATCCTAGTTGGTTAACATACTGTAAGAGAATCACTGTCCTATGGCAGTGTAGTTCTTACACCCTCTGCTGTTCCTCCAAGAACTAGATTTGGCAAAGTGATCAAGGCCCCAATGTCTCCCGAGAGCCTGGGGTCAACCTGGGCCAAAGCTGTGCCATCTTCCCAGGCTTACACACTGTTCTGTCACAGTCGTGATGGGAAATGGGGATGTGAGTCTCAGTGCCAGCGAGTAACAGGAGAGCACAAAACAGCAGAGACAAAATTGATTTAATGGGCAGATGGCCAGCAAGACAGGCCAGATGCAACTCAAATTGGACTGGACGGACCTATTGAATTACAGTCCCATATGCTGCAAATACATTTATTATCTGACCGTACAATATGACGCCATTAAATCTTCTTTAATGCTCAATTAGTCTCTAGAATAAAATATTTTATGAGACAAAATATGGTCCGAAGCTGGACACAGTAATGATCTGTAACTAGTGGTGTTCACAGATTAGGCTGAGATTGACTAGCCCTAAGTTGTCTAAATAAGATATTTACAATGTTTGCATCAACAAACAGTTCTCAAGTCAGAAATACTGAATTTTACAATTCTTCCAACTTAACGATTACTTTTGGATCTTAACAATTGATTGACGTGTCAATAATACATAATTTAAAAAATGTTATGATTTAGCTTCGGTTTTAAGCATTTTTGATATTGTTCTTTTGTCTGCAAAGGTGTTTGATCTGTCACTTTCCACATCATAGCATACATTTGAAAATGTGGCATTATTCTTTCTTTGATATGGAAATATTTGGTCCAGAACTGAAATCAGAAGCAATAATTTCCCCCTGGCTTCTATTCTATTGAAATCAGATGCAATAATCTTCTTGCTCAATACTCACTAATCTTACTTGCTTGATTTAGATTTCCATAATGTAACTGTTCTGTCCTTCAATACTACTCTCATGCTAAAAAATACTTTTTTCTCAAGATACAAAACGTTTTGTATGACACTTGTACTGGTCACATAACAAGTATAGAAAAGAAGTACAATTTTAAAATACGCTGTCACAAAAAAAAATCATTGTTACACAATGTTTCCACTTTTTGTACATTAACTGATGCACAAAAGAAAGGCAACACTGACGTCTTACTTAATTAATCAAGTAATTCAAACATAAATGTGGAAAAAAGTACAAAAGAAACACAGATGGAATATCCGAAAAATTCTGAATGGTAAGATGACAAACTGACAAAATGCAAACAAAGCTCAGCAGGTGTGAGCCTGGTCAGTACTTGGATGGGAGACCTCCTGGGAAAAGCTAAGTTTGCTGCTGGAAGAGGTGTTAGTGGGGCCAGCAGGAGGTGCTCACCCTGTGGTCTGTGTGGGTACTAATAATAAATACTGTCTGTGATGGGGACACAATATTGTAAAAAGGCGCCATCCTTCGGATAACACGTAAAACTGAGGTCCTGACTCTGTGTGGTCATTAAAAACCCTAGGGCGTTTCACAAAAAGAGTAGGGGTGTTATCCCAGCATCCTGGCCAAATTTTTCCTCGGCTTTTACCAATCATGGCCTCCTAATAATCCCCATCTATGAACTGGCTTCATTACTCCGTTCTCCTCCCCACTGATAACTGGTATGTGGGGAGCGTACTGGTGCACTCTGGCTGCCATTGCATCATCCAGGTGGGGCTGCACACTGGTGGTCGTGGAGGGGATCCCCATTACCTTTTAAGTGCTCTGAATGGAATGTCCAGAAAAGTGCTATATAAGTATAATGAATTCTTCTTCTTCTTATTATTATTATTCCAAAGTTAACTAACAAGTTGAAACAAAGACCCGGTCAACAACTGGATAGACTACTGACAGATGTTCTGCTGCTCTTCCTGTGATCTTGGATCTAATTGGTGAAGGTTAAATGGTTTCTGTAGTTTTCTGTTGATGACATTGGTGACCTCACAGATGTCACTATCCAGGTGAATCCATTATTCACTGTCGTTATAGTGTACAGTATATTCATTTCCGTTATCAGAACGGCTCTTATTTCTTTTTGGAGTCAAGGCGTCCTGAAGCCTATTCTGGAAATGCAGCGTGCAATCTCGACGTACACCCTGAACAGTATGATAGTCTGTCGCATGGTACGTATGCACGCAATTCAACTTCAAAACTGCACACAGAATGTGCAGCATTGTAGAATTCAACGTGGGACCCAAGAGAGACTAGGCAACAGCTAACTGCCGTGCTTACATGCCCATCAAGATTTACAATCAAAAAGTTTTAGTTTGCACATACAGTACAGATTTACAAAAACAACTCAATGGGATTTTCTGAAGACACCTGATTTACAGTAAAATGTAAGGGAACTATTCAGGGAAATGAATCTATTGCAAACACAAAAGCATCAGGAACTCGAACAAATATGATCTTATACCTGTCTAAAGAACTCCTCAAGCAGTGACATGGTCCAGCGATGATGCAAGTCCCAGTTTTTGGCTGGGTGACTGATATCAGCTGTGTGCAGTAACAGAGATAAGGCTTTTGGCTTGTCAATCCTGCAGAGTCAAGAAACATAGAGGTTAGTGAATTGAGAAAACATTAAAAGGAATATTTCAGCCACAATCAGCAATTCCCTAGCTAATATTGTGATTAAATAAATACAGACTAGTAAGACTTAACTGATCTTAGCTAACTGAAATAATAAAAAAAAAAATTTCCTGAAAAATATGTCTTTATACATACAAGTTCTTGGAATGATGGATATTCCAGATTACAGGATTATATATTTGTTGTAGTGCATTTGAAATTGATGCTGCAATCCAATTTCATTGCTTTAAAGTTGTCTGAATTTAAAACCTGCAGCACAATTCTTCAAAAGTGAAAATATTTACAATGTAATACATTTTAATTGCCATCTTTTTAAGACATGTCGATTCTGAACATCTGAAGATTCCTGGACAATGTTGCTTTTTCATTCCTTTTATGATAGGTTTATATCATAATTTTTTTTGAAAAGCATTGTATACCAAAACAGATATTAAACATTATTTTACCACTCTTTTATGCTCTATCATTATCATTAATGGTTTGCTTTTGAGGGTGTGGTACAAGCATTCTTTACTTCTGATTATTTTTTATTAATTACGTGTATCGTTCTCTTGCATTTTAGCAGGATTGTCAAAAAAATACAATGTGTTCAGAATGTTCAAGTTTTAACAAGAAATACAAGTGATTCTGCTAGTTTTGCCATGACTCCACTAGTTTACCAACAAATGTTAGGACTCATGCATTGCTTACAGTATGTACAAAGTCTTAAACAGCATGTTCAATTTGGCCACAGACTGCGCTTAATTTCCTAAATGGTAAAAGTGGATTTATCACACAACACATGAGGGCCAGATATTTTTCTGCACAGTTCAATACATAACAATATTGGTCGGGCATTAACCAATTATCATAAACACATCAATATTGACCACACAGTGAGCAAGTAAAAATGCCACATTTGTTGAAAGTTAAAAGCTTTGACCTTTTCAGCACACAGCTTTCTTCTTCAATTTTTATTTTTCACTCATCTCTGCTGTGGTCATCATACCTATCTTAAAAGAAATTTCTCAGGCCTAAGTAGTATGATTATCCGCATAATGAATACAAGGTATTGATATCACCAGATACCTGCATGCACTATTTTACTTTTGCAGTTACAAGTTTTATTCTTTATTCTTTTGGCAGCACAAGATTTACTTACTACTATAATAAAAAAATAATGTTTAGTAAGAAATTGATTAGTTTGTGACATATTTATTGTGTACTATAGAGATCATACAAATTGTATTCCTCCACATAATATGCCTCCTTACATAAAAAGATTTGTTGGTAAATTCTACTTGTTGTAAAATACAGTAAACAGTAGTTCTAAGTTGCTATTAGCTATTTAAATACATCAGAAAAGTACTTTTTTATATCCGGTTATGAGGACAGCAAATCTGAGACTTCTACATGTATTTGAATGGGAATTTAACTATGAGTTTTGGACTACAAAAGTTTGAAACCATTTGTGCTCTGGGAGGAGTGTATTATGTCAAAAAAATCAAATTAATATCTAGATCTGGATTCTTTCAACACAGCAAAACTCGTGTTAAAAAAATCAGATGCACAGGTAGGCCTCCAGGCATATGCTACAGTATTTTAAAGAATGGTGATATTCTTTACAGAATGAGCTCTAAATCTGCTCCTATACCATTATGTCTGTAATGTCTTATACCACTCTACTGTAAGATTTATCACTGGCGCCCCCGTCACACTCAGCTTTGCGATCTTTTCTATTTTATTGATTGGCACTCTCTGTAAATAAGACAATAGTCGTCCATCTTCATAATTTATTGCGGCTCTCTGTGCCATCCTATGATTATAAAATGTAGCCCCAGTACCTCAATCACACTGCACCTCCCAGGAGCAACTACTGATTACCGACCAGGGACGAGTCATTTCAATTTGCTGCTCTGAGGGTATTTTCAGTTGCATGATTAAATCTTTTATGCCTGACACTGGGACTTGTTAACATTCCCACGTCCTGTAAGGTTCTATCGTCTTATGTGATTTTTTATTTTTACCGCTGTCTGTTCTTTTTATTCTCATTGCTTTGTCTTCTGTACTACGATGGTATGTGCCTCTTTGTCCGATCCTTTTACTTAAAGATCATTATGTAAATTAATAACTGTAGTAGTTGACGGTTCCACACCAGCCATTGGAATGGAGACACCCTGGTGCCGATTCTAATAATCTTAAGGTCCTATCCCAGCCCTCCACGGGAGACTAGAGCCTAAAGCATTCACTTTAGAGACTAGAGAAGTATTCACACCAGAACTCCTCTGAACTGTGGATAGTTCAAATATTCACTTTGGATCTCTGTTTCTTTGGGCTTGGCTGCCCATGTAAATAACTAATGGTATTAAAGTTTGGTTCTACTGTATGCAACCTGATGTGTTTACGTCATCAGATAACCTCACACTACAGTCTTCTTATTAATAGCTTACACAATAGTGAAAAGCATTGCTTTATAAGGGGACAGATCTTTGTTTTATTCGTACCATTGGAGGAGTATGCGTAACAGCAGGGGTCAGCAGTGTTATTGGGCTAATAACAAAATAACAGTGTTATTTTAAAATGAACGCTGTTACTTGTCAACGTTTGATTCATGTATCATGTGTCTGAAAATAACTTCACCAGATTGCACCTGCATGATTTAATAGTACTGTGATTGCTAAGGTCATTCTTGACCATTGTAGACTGATATACAGTTTTTCACCAGAACCCATGCCCCTTACAAGCTAATCAAAATAATAGCTTTAAATTGCATTTATGATATTTAGGCTGCAGCCATACAGTGTTTTGTCATATATTTTCAAATAAAATGTTGTTTTGCCTGCCTACCACTTTGAATTAATTAGAGCTTATTATCATTCTCATTATAATTTGTGATTTGATTGTTAGACAACTGTATGTCATTGATATTCAAAATGAATGCAGGGTAATTACTTGTTTCCAAACAGACAAATGAGTAAAAAAATCCTAATAGCATTGAATTGAGCCCAAGAGCGCAGGGTGAGTGACTGTAGCTCTCTGACAGCTGGCTAGGTTTCTGCGTCTTTCTCATTCAAGCAAACAGAAAGCTTGGGTATGTGGCAAAAAGTATGGAATTGGAATCAAGGGACGTTCCACTTGTTCTAGTCAAAACAATTTATTTTCCATCTCCTTCTCATTTATTTTACATGCTCCACATATTTTAAATTCTCTGCTTCAGCAGTTGCTGCACAGGAGGATTTCGTCGTCTGGCAATTAAGGTGTCTGGAAGGTCACATTTCTCAAACCCAATTTGAGAACGTCTTGTCTTTCATAAACATGCTGCACTGCAACAAGATGGATAAATAAACACCAGCAAGGTATCTTGCTGAACTCTTTATGCTGTGCTCCTAGCAAAACAAGGTACCCACAGGCTTGGTTATTGTGTAATATGAGAGGGTATATGCAAATCTGCAAATGATCATTTGTGCACAAACAAAAAGAGCACTGGAAATCAGCACCTACTGTGGATGGTTTTTAATGAGCAGCATGTGCCCTCCCATACTTTAACAAATGTGCCAGCTTTGCTGTGTCTATGAGACGCATTAAGTCATAAACCTGGATACTGTGCCTGTACCAGCATGATCTGGGAGTTGGTTTTAGTTTAGAAGGCTCTGCATTGGCTGAATTAACAGGTTTAATGGTTCGTTGTTGGAGCTTGGAAGTAGCAGTGCTAACCTTTTTGCCATCGTGCAGCCCTGATCTATATGCAAATATATTTAATCAAGATTATTATTACAAAAACATACATACTGTACATACAGTTTACTTGATCTGTGTCACAATTGACTCCAAACTGAATATCAGTCAGAAACAATTGGGAAAACCAATACGAGCATCACTGGTGTTTGTTACTCATGTTCTTACACTCTGACCATGAGGGGGATCACACTGTAGTTTACAGAATAGAGGACATGTTTTACAAATACATTTCGAAACCATATAATGATTCTGCTATCAGCCCTCTTCTTTCATGCAAAAATTACCCACTTTCTTTTTTATGGCATGCATACAAGCAGTAAGGGGCTATGAATGAGTATCAGCAATGATTAGTTTAATTCTATAAAAATATGAATGGATTTGAAACTCAGAATTTTAGTGCATAATATTTTTCCCTCTTCAATAAAGTTAATTTTACACAGCTAGACATTTTGACAAACACTTATAGTATGAATTGAACAGAACAATAGGGAATACTGCACTGTAATGTACCCTAAAATTATGGAGTCATAATCAAAGTCACTTAATTATGCAAATGCATAACTTGTGGCTCAGTGCAATATACTATATTAAAAAATTGTTAACAAGCAGAGGGTATCATATACAGTATAAATGACACACAGCCATGTGCAATGTGCAATCAAGTTTAAAAGTCTTTACTTGTTGATATTACTGGCTGTTACGGGTTATTTATTAAAAAAAATAAGAGGAAACAATGCAATTGCAATACTGTTCATGAGGTGACCAAAGGTTAGGCAAGGTTACTAAAATATTCCAAATGAGTAAAAGCTGTGCTCAGTGACTCACCCCTCTGGTTGCTGTAAGGAGTTTTTCATTGCCTTTATTTGTTGAAAATGACAGGACATGTCTGTAGCTAGGACCATCTCTACTACAAGAGCTCGCAGTTCCCTGTTGTTTGAAAAAAAAAACAATAAAAGCATAATATCCACTTTTTAAGTTTCTTACAGTAGATTTTACTCAGATTTACGGGAACATCGGTTTTGCAGATCTTAGCGAGACCGGTTTAATTGCATTTTATGAAGACGCATCCCGGTTAAAATGCTTTAACGTGCTACACAACTTAATAGAATAACAGTGCGGAAAAAGAAGAAAACTTAAAATATTGGTACATTGGCTGTTAAACCACGGGAATCTGGAATACCTGGAAATACCACAGAGACCTGAAATTGTTCTCTCTGCATTCAATCAGCTAAGTCTCACCATGAGGTTGTTGGAATGGAGACCAACATAGAAATGTTGAATTAATCACTACAATCACTTAGTCTTGCAAGCTCACAGAGGATAAACAAAGTGCAGCTTAATTTATGTATCATTTATGTCGTTTGATTGATTGATTAATATTTTTATGGTTTCCTAAGTGATATAAAAGATATCCATGATAAAACCAAAAATGTAACTGGACTTCTTGAATGTCACAAAATACCTTTAAAGAAAAGAGCCGTCTTCTCTGTAATTTGTCTTACAGCTGCAATTGCTTTAATTCTTCTAGAATTTCTGAGCACATAGACCGTACAGTATGTTATATATCACAAACTACCAAAGGCAATACCTGTGTACAAGCTCTGGAAAACAGTTTGAAAGCCACGCAAATGAATTCCCAGAAGCCTCTACTGCCAACTGTTGCTTGCTTACCTCCAGTCATCCTTTGACAAGTTGTACAAGATGTTCATTTCATCATCGTCCTGTAGGAGGCGATAAGCTGCACTAACATGATGGCTTTCAAGCACAGATCTGTCATTATACAGAATAGCCGTGTCTGACCTACAAATAGATACAGCAAGGGTGCATTAGTAATGCAAATTATATTTCTCTTGTCTGAGCAAAAATAACTTGCCAATCTGATATCACGCATGGCAGTGTATTGTTTTCAAATTTCTTGTTGGGTGAAAAAATATTCTATTTTTTACCTCACTGAATAAATTAATTAATTGCTAAGAAGAGCAAATACAACCGTGTCCCTGTTTGATGAAATGAGAATGATAGAAGTGACTGAAAATTAGCCCTCAAGCATACTGTATGAGTTGAACACCACTGCTTTACAGACCTAATCAGTGACATTTTTCAGATTCTAATAGTAGCTGGCTTTTCTAGTGATAAACACTGATCCTATGAAACATTTACATCTGGCTTTTTGGGTTAGGATTACTTAGTCTTCCTCTACTTTGCCTCTACTTGACTTGATTTATAGCAGACTGCATTTCAATTGAAATAATGTTTTCTGAAACAAATTACCTGCAATGTAAGCTGGAGACCAAGCTTCTTCATGAAATACAGTATATTTAAGATATCTGCAGACAGCAGATGAAATAGAATCATTCTGTTCGAACTGTGCAACTTAATGTTCCGTTTCATTTTTTATTTTTAATTAATGGTTCTCAGGATTTGCCTGGTCTTATTAGAATCTTACATATTAAAATGCTAAGAATGTACAGTGTGTATTTCTTAAAATAATTATATTTTCAGCTATAGTCGTAAGATGTTCATATGAAAAGCACTTTGTGTTCAGGGCGTCACGGGATTTTCCAGATTCCTTATGAATTTAACTTATAGGGAAATGCTCGCCAACAAAATGAAACAAGAGACGGACTTGTCACGAGTCATTACCTGGTTTGGATGTGAAAGTTATTCGTGGTTCCTGTGTGTTCGTAGTCGTGGACGGCAGCTGCAAAAATCATAGCAAAGATCTCCAGCTCTGTCAGCCAGTGCTGCAAAAAAAAAAAAGAAACCTGATCAGCGCACCACGTACTGAAGTTTTAAGGTCTCGCCTTACAGTGCCAGCTTCCCCGCTGTGGCAGTACGAGCCCAGCTCTGGCTTCCAGGCATCCCTTTGGCCTCTCTGCAGGTATCGATGCGTCTCTGTGAGCGAGACCTGCACCCTGCACCTCTTCTGCTGGTTATAACTCCAGAAGCACAGTCAGCCAACTTAAACCGACGGCCAGTGAATGAATTCCTCTGGCAAATCTTGAGCAGGGTATTACCTATGGTTTGCCACAGTACAACTCTCAGCCGTATAATTGTAGAAATGAAACTGTAAGTGGTTAAAATCATCTGCCCAAATATTTCACAGCAACTGCAGTATTTTAAACTGTGATGTTGTTATAAGATGAATATATTATAATCTAGACAGCTAGAGATCGAATGTTAATGTATTTGTTGGAATCAACCTAAGTTTGTATTGAAGGACCAAAGAGTGCAGCAGCGTTTTAACTTTTCTTTATTAATGATGTCAGCTCAGCAAACGTCTTGATGTTCTACAAGACACAACCACCTGTTTTTTGCAAAACGAATACAGAAAATATAGTCTTTTAAAAGTGAATACATCGACAAAGCATACAATGAAACAGAAACAACTTAAAAACAAACGTAAATCTTTGCAATGGGGACGGGGGGAGGGTGTCTATATTTACGTATACACAGAAATGTTTAATTAATCACTGTAATCACTCAGTCTCCTAATGCCACAGGAGATAAACAAGATTGTAAAAAAGACATTTTTACCATTAATTTATACACAAAGTATGTCAGATGCATATAAATATCAGTTATAAATTGCTGATGTTGATGTAAATCAATATTTGTACTTTAGATGAGACATTCAAACTCCGCATCTAGGTAATTTTTCAATCACTTTAGTCCAATGGGTATAGATCTGCAGTGCTTTCAATGACATAGCTCAGATCACATAGGAGTATTTGTCCCAGTCATGCAATAATTAACAACCTACTTAGAACCTATACAGTTATTTAAGAACCAGTGTAAGAATTTTAGTTGTTTTAGAATAAAATTACAACATTACAACTATATGCATTGTACTGTGGTTATACGGTGTAATTACTGGCTTAGACAGTATCTGTGCTTTTCATCTACTGTATATTTTATTTTCCAACAAAATATTTTCCAACAAAAACCTAGTTTCTTCCTCTTTGGACTTATTCCAAAGCTGCTGTATACAGTATGTTTTTTGCAATTTGATAACCAAAACTGTGAACACTTTTCCAGTTGGTACTGAAATCTTGCTTTTGCATTGTATAATGTTAAAATAACATTCCTTAATGTCAGTTCTACTCTTCCAACTATAAATCATGACATTCATTTGTGTTTTGTCACTTCTTCTTTAATTATACAGTATAGATTTTAGAAGATGAAAATGATGTCTCAACATAAATAAATAAGTCATGTTCAGAAGGAGTTTCTTGGAGCAGTGTTCTTTATTATATAGTGTATGTTTCTGCTACTTGCAAATAACACAACTCATTTGTCTACATTAAATGCCATCTGCCAGGTGTTTACCCAGTCTTGTTTTTGTTTTCTGTCTTTTAGAATTTCCTATGTGGTTTCTAAAAGGATTTATTTCCTAATCTACCTGATCTAGTTATTCTTCCTCAGAAACAGATGGCCTTGTTGTTGTATAAATGTGCAAGAAATTATGCACTCTTACTGTATGTGTTGTCCAAAACTAGAAGGCATGTTTTGCACCCAATAGAGAATATTCCATCTGTCCAGTTGACTTCCTGCTAGAATCCTGTCACCCTGTCTGTATATAGTAATAAAGACTGTCCTGGCACCATCATTCTTGTAAAGTTTCTTTTAAAAATCAAATCAGTTCACACCATTTCTAATTCTGTGACAGTGGAACGTGTTTTAAGATACTACACTGAAAGGAGAAAGTTCTGAAGATTTGATGAAGGACCCACACACATAATCCACAGTTCATTGTCACTATAAATTAGTTTCCATCAAACCAAGAGGCATTAAAAGTTCTACAAACAATACAGATAAGCAAAGTGATGCTTTCCAACTACCTTCTTCACAAGAAAATGGAGTAAATGGAATTAAACTAGAAGAGGTCAATAATTATAGTAGTAAACATCATTAGCAGAAATCCTGATGTAATAAAAACAAAAACACCTGCAGTCTTTTTGAAAGATTAAATATGATTCTAAATATAAACATGCTTATACTGTATACTGTCTTCAAAGGAAGGTCTTTGACCTATGTTTTCTGCATTGTGATATTTTCTTTATATAAAAAATAACAAAACATCAGGATTCAATGGACTGAACTCTCTGCCTTTTTTCAGCTTAGGGGAAGGATTCTACATTTTGAGGTCTTCCATTATTCCACAGCTAGGTCTCGAGAGGCTAACCTTTCAGATTTGAGTAATTGAAACTTTAAGGTCTGCCTTACAGCACACAGTAAGAATTATATTCTACTGATTCATGGGGATAAATGATTTGGCCCATGTGTGTGTTAGAAAACCATTAGTCCATTTCCAGAGGAGACACACATGATAAATGATAAACACCGTATACCCTATTACAACTCAGAAACCTATAAATATGTATGTAAACCACTACAGTTTGAAAACTGTGCACACTTAGAAAACAAATATCAAAAAAGCTGAAACATCAAGATTCTGGATATATTCAAGAATAATCTGTGTATAAATTACACATTTAGCTCATGTTTATATTTGCATTGTACTATAGCATTCATTGAGAAATTGAACTTACTATGATGCTTTTCACATGTTTAAAAATAAAGGTGGAAAGGCTACTACAAACACACAAAAAATAAAATTGTATGATGTGTAAAATGAGCAGACTAATCACTTTAAGTGTAAAGTGACTGGACATTCACATTCAAAAGACGAATGGATACCAACTAGTAAATTGAACCTTGCAGATCTGAGTAAAGTGCTCTACTCAAGATATTGCAGTGAGACATGCAAAAGTAAGAAAACTGAGCCATGCAGAATGTTGCGGTGAAACATGCAGTAGTGAAAAATGTGATGTGAGGCATATTGCGGCATATGTTAAACACAGCAGTGAGTAAAGAGAGGCATGCAG